ACCTCACAGTGTTTTCTACTTGGTTGTTGTTTTGTTTTGGTACTGGGCATTGAACCCAAGGGTGCTTAGCCAGTAAGCCATATCCCCAGCCCTTTTTGAGACAGAGCCTTGCTAAATTGCTTAGGGCCTTGCTCAGTTGCCGAGGCTGGCTTTGAACTTGCAATCCTCCTGTCTTAGCCTCCTGAGCCGCTGAGATTACAGGCCCAGCCTGTTCCCTACCTGGTAAGGAATAGGACCAAGCTGATCTCTGCTGGAGTTACCACAGGTTGGGATGTGATGCTCACTCGTCTGAGCCTTGGCCTGGATCCAAGGTAGTGCTGTGTTCCTCTGCCTGCTCCCTGTCTGTCCCTCCCCTACTGTGAGGCCCACATAGCCTGGAGGCCAGGTCACCTGTCACTCCACCAGGGCACCTCTCACTTGGCCTGGAGAACTGTCCCGGTCAGGCCAGAATGCTGGCCAGTGTGCCCATCGACCCCTACTCACTTGGCATAGGAGGAGTCCCCAAGGCCCAGGACGGCAAAGTCCATCTGACAGAGGGAAGTGGAAGGCAGGTTCTTCCGGAATATGAACCTCCAGAAGTTCTAGAGGCACAGGAAACCCACATTAGGGTCTCTACCTCTAGGCTGACCCTGTGGCGAGGAGGGATCAGGGAAGGGGAAGAGGACTGGATGGGGCAAAATGAGATAGGACATCTGACCACAGGGCAGGGCTGGGCTGACCCCCTTGATGCAGAAAGGCTGGCAGGAGCAGGGCTGCCTGCCAGTGGGAGGAAGGCTACACACTGTGAGCCTACCTTCCCAGGGCGTCCATCTGCCTGCTGCTTAAGACTTTCCTTCTTAAAACTATTTTTATTCTATCAGGATGACAAGAAACTTCAGAAAATGTGCACAGTTGTAAAGCTACCCCACCATCACCCAGAATCAGCATCACAAAGAGGTCAGGTGGCCATGGTTGCCCCCAGTCCCACTCCTCGGCCCTCTGCTCCCAGTTAGGCCCCCCAGGGCACTGACTTCTCCCAGTCACACCACAAGTCCTGAGCCAGTTCTCAGGCTAACGCTGGGCATGGGCCTGTTTGGTCACAGCAGTGGCTCTGGGCTGGACCCTCTGATGGGTTCTGAGCCACCCCTGGAATCCTCTGTTGGACCCCAACTCCCTCCTTGCTCTGTACTGGCTCCCCAAACTGTCCCCCTTCCCCATAGGGACCTTCACCTCCACGTCTGCCATTCCCAGCAGAAGTGTAAGCCTCTCCTCCCCTGGGGGCTATACCCAGACCTTGAGGTCTGAGGCTGAGCGCCTCTGGGTACTGTCCTTGTCCATCCCTGACTGGAGGATCAGGAGCTGGCTGCGCACAGGTCAAGAGTGACTCCCCTTCACACCTACCTTGCAGCCTTCCTGCTCCTCCATAGCACCAGAGGCCCTCTTGCCAGGAGCGTGCTGGTCACCTCCCTACTTTCAGCCCAGGGCAGCCTGTGTATGTAGGTACACCTCTGTCCTGCTGCCTGTCCCACATATGGCCAACAAAGGCTCTGCCTCCTGAGACCTGTTTCCTGAAGCCTCAGGGCTCATTCCTGCTCCAGCCTGTACCCTGGCCTATCTCAAAGTACCAGAATCCTCTACATACCCTCAGCAGCCTGGGGCTGCTGGGCTGGGGCCACTCCCTCAGGCCTGAGAAGCCAGAGCCACATGCCTGCTGCCCCTCTCTCCCTGTCAGCCACTGGAACATGCTTTGTCCCCAGCAGCAGAAACTACATGGAATGCCTTGTTGCCCCTTCCGCAGCTGGCATGGCCCTCTCCAGGTACACAGCTACTCTCAGGCTGGCAACTTGTCCTCCAGTCCAGGGACATTCTGCTACTTTCTGTGATCATCCCCCTGCTACCTTTCCCGGAGTAACTTTGAGTTCTGCCCTTTTCCTTCCACTTTTTTTGTCATGCTGCCTGGTGCGATTCTTGAGCTGCACCGCCCAGTCTTTAAAGGCCTCCCTCAGGGTCTTGGGCTCTGCTCCTGAGTTCCATTTGTCTCTCTAGGTCTCTACCTTTTACTGGGGTCTTTGCTTCACTCTGCTGTGGTGTTTTGTGGTCTACCTGTACTTGAGACTGATGGGAGACCTTGGGGATACACTTGTAACACAATGGGTTTTGCCACCAGTGGCTGAGCAGGGCTCTGGCTTCTTTACTGCAGCGTTCCCCATGAGACCCAAGCAGAGGCCAGGGCCTTCCTGCCCAGCGGCCTCTCAGACAGCCCCAGTTCGTGCTGTGGTTGAGAAGGCAGCCAACACTGGCTCCCCGCTCTGGCTCTTTGCCATGGCATTCTTCTTCTCTCTGGCCATCTAAACTCTGGTATGACCCATCGTCTCCCTGGTGCCATTGGCTGCCCTGACACCCAAGACCTGAGGAAGATTTCTTTTTCCTCTCACCTCCCAGACAGGCCCCTCCCACCACACACCTCCTGCCCGTTCCCCCAGCCCTCCTTTTCTGTTGTCCCTCTCAGTCTGTGGGGATCCCAGATGTGCTCAGGTCTTACCCCAGCCTCCCCACAGCATTTGCCTTCTTCCCACTACCCTTTCCCATCAACATTTAGCATGCCAGTCTCTTCCATCTTATAAATGTCCTCTTTTGCACTCCTTAGTCCTTTCATAGCCAGAATGTGTTTTTAAATCAATGCCTAAATATTGTCAAATGATCCTCCCACCTGCTCACTCATTTTATTACGGGTCTTTTCTACCTGCAAGCCACTGAAACTGCTCTCCCTGATGACTACCAGCAATCCCAGGAACTCCCTCTCAGGCCTATTTCTGGACTTACGTGTGGCTTTAATGACTATAGTTCTACTTGAAGCACCCACTTGGGGAAGCTGGCCTTGGGGAAGCTGTTCTTCATCTCCTCACTGCGTGGCTGCATCCCATTGCCCCATTTTATGCTTAGCTCAGGATGGCAGTCCTGGGGAAGGGAGGGGCTTCCTTTTCTCAGACATCTCTATTTTTTTTGGTGGGGGAGTACTAGAGATAGAACTCAGTGGTATTCGACCACTGAGCCACACCCCAGCCCTATTTTGTACTTTATGTAGAGAGAATGTCTCACTGAGTTGCTTAGTGCCTCACTTTTGCTGAGGCTGGCTTTGAACTCACTATCCTCCTGCCTTAGTGTCCTGAGCTGCTGGGATTACAGGCATGTGCCACCACGCCAGGCTCAAACCTCTATATTTTGATCCCACACTGGCTTCACCCCAGGACCCTCCTGGAGGTCCGACCTACTGTACTTCCCCAGATGTCTCTAGGCACTTGGCCCCACCATGTTCTCTTTCTGCAGGTGGAATTACCTAGTTCCCAAGCCCAAATCCCTGCTGCTAGTAAACTTTCTTCCTCATCTTCCAGTTCCCTTCCATTACGGGTCCTGTTGACTTTACCTTCTAAAATTCTCTGGAATGTGTCCACTTTGCTTTGCTTTCTACCACCACCTCACCTCAGACCACCAGCTTCTCTTGCCTGTGCTGTGATCTCCTATCATTATTCTTGGCCCCCTACAAACAGATGGTGTTCTTGGCAGAGTGTGAGTGTGACTGTGTCAGTCTCACAGTTATCAGCCCATTCCGAGTCATCTCTAGTGCGGCCCACCTCTTGGAACCAGCCAGGCTTCCTGCTTTTCCTCCCCTGCTCTTTTCCCAGTGCTGTCCTGGCTAGGCCATGCTCAACTGTCTTCTGCTCTTCACATAGGCTATCTCATCCTTCTCCTCTGCACAGGCTGTTTCTTCTTCCCTATCCTGTTCCATTCATCCCAAAACTCAACCTATACTCCTTCCTTCCAGAGAGTTCTGCCTAAGGCTTTAGGCTCCCGTAGCAACTGACACTTTCCCCAGCAGCAGGCATTTCCAGGCATTGCAGTAGTCCATTAGACCTATTGTTTCTGCAAGTGTGAGGGTAGAAATGTGACTGCTGGGTTCACTGCTAGATTTCCAGCACATGTTGGTGCCAGGGGTATAATATGCACTCGGAGGTGATCAAACAATTAAATGTTCCCCGAATGCTGCACAGCCTTCAAAAGAACCCAGCCCAGGTTCCTATGTAGTTCTGAAAGCACACAAACAGGTAAAATGGAGAACAAGGTTATTTGGTGGCTGCGAAGAGTTCGTTAAAGAGGACAAGCAGAGCCCCCATCAGCTCCACTCAAAGGCATTCCCTCCAGTCTGGCTCTAACGCGCGCCTGCTATCGAAGGGCAACTGCTCATTGTGCTACTTGGACTCTCCAGGTAACGAAGACGCGGCTGAGGGCGGAGGGAGCTACATCACGCCGGTCTTACCTTCATGTTGTCAGGAGGGTCTCCTTGCCCGGTAGTCGCACAAACAAACACCACCAGGGGCTCCCTGATCAGATTGGCCTCAACGAAAAGACACAGATGTAAGACCTCTGGCTGTCACCGTCAGGCACGCTCCCGACCTGCCCCCTCTCCTTCACTCCGGGCGGCAGGGGAGCGGGGCCGGCGGCCTCTCTCTCTCAGCCCCGGTGCCAAGCCCCCCTTCGCCCAAACCCGCAGGGGCAGGGCGGAGGGTGTCCGCCTCGGCCGCCGGTTCTCACCACGGCGTACGAGTCCAGCGCCTGCACGCGGCAGCCCAGCCGCCGGCGCCGCGCCTCGCGGCCCACCCTCTCCGCCACATCCTGGGCCGTGCCCGTCTGGCTGCCAAAGAGCACCAGGAGCTGCGGTGCCGGCATCGCACAGCGCCGAGAGCCCCGCGGCAGAACCGGCCCGGAAGTCGTAGGCCGACTTCCTGCTTCTGTGGTCGCCCGGAAGTGACGCCAACGGACCGTGCCGGCGGGGCATGGCGTCGGGGCGCAGCGGGTGTCCGCGGGCAACTAGTTCTGGGTCCCGGGCCGGGTCCGGGGGATCGGCGGCGCTCCGGGGCCGGGGGCCGGGGCGGGCGGGGCCGCTCGCTGCCTGTCGGTCGCAGCGGCGGCGGCGGGCGGCGGGCGGGCCCGCGGGCAGAGGGGGCGCGGCGCCGCGAGGGGCGCGGGCGGCCGGGCTCTGGCCCGCGCCCCGCCGGCGCGATGCTCTTCTCACTGCGGGAGTTGGTTCAGTGGCTGGGCTTTGCCACCTTCGAAATCTTCGTGCACCTGCTGGCCCTGTTGGTGTTTTCCGTGCTTCTGGCACTGCGAGTGGATGGCCTCGCCCCGGGCCTCTCCTGGTGGAACGTGTTCGTGCCCTTCTTCGCTGCTGACGGCCTCAGCACCTACTTTACCACTATCGTGTCTGTGCGCCTCTTCCAAGACGGGGAGAAGCGGCTGGCAGTGCTGCGCCTCTTCTGGATTCTCACAGTCCTTAGCCTCAAGTTCGTCTTTGAGATGCTGCTGTGCCAGAAGCTGGTGGAGCAGACAAGAGAGCTCTGGTTCGGCCTGATCGCATCTCCAGTCTTCATTCTGCTGCAGCTGCTCATGATCCGCGCCTGTCGTGTCAACTAATCTCTCAGGGATTGGAGAAGGAGAGTTGCACAACTGAACTGCTTGACTCCTGCTGAGGCCCTAATTGCATCACGCTGGAGAAGAGACACTGGTTTGAAGGCAGCGTCCGCTTGTGCCCGGCTGAGTGTCCAGTTTTCTCTATGCCAGTCTAACATTGTTTCTTCAGCAGGATTAAAAAAGAGCAGCTTCCATCCTTGAAATGCATTTCCTGTTATTCATGCTTTGAGTAGCTAATCCTGAATTGTGATCCTAAGAAGGGACCCAGCCCAGCCGGTCCTGAACTACTCTAACAGTAGGAAACTGCACATAATTAAAATGTCCTGGTGGACTCTGAATACTCAGCATGGATCCTGGGGATGTACTTCTTTATGAAGGCGGCAAAACTGGATTAGGATTTTGTCCAGCCAGTAGCACTGAGGGAAGAGCTCAAAGCTCCGCCCCACCTCTCCCTGCATGATTATGACCCTATCTGGATATCTGCCACCTGAGAAAAGCACTCTACTAGCAAGTCATAGCTTGGCTTCCTGTTCCAGCAGATTGCAATTTCAGGACTTTCCCACCACCTTGTGGCCAGCACCATTAGTGCATCTGGGACAGATTTAGGCCTTTCTAAGGGACCAAAGACAGAAACAGGTGCTCTGATGCTCATGGCACAGAGACTTACTTATGGAACCTTGTGAGCAGCCCAGATTGTTGGCCTTGAGGTCTTTGGTTTGATGCCAGTTAGGTGCCAAATGAGAACATTTGCTGAGATGAAAATAAAATAAGAGAATGTTTTCCTGATATTTATATTGTCACCATACCTCTCTTGAATAAGACAAATGCTAAGATACTCTCTGCTATGTGGAGTGGTAACTCATTACAGAGTTGAGGTTGTAGGTAGACCAAAAAGTGTGGTGGTGGACTTCTGGGAGAATAGGAAGTTGTCAACTCTGCCCTGCAGGATAAAGACAATAGACCAGGACAGAGTCGACTTGCTAAATAGTTTGTGTGACACCAGAGCCCTGACTTCTTGCCAGTGCGGCTATTATTGGGGGGATCTATAGAGCAGGATTGCACCCAGTGGCCTGAGGCTATTTTTTGGTACTGATTGAACCTGGGGGCACTTAGCCATTGAGGTACATCCCCAGCCCTTTTAATCTTTTTTTTTTTTTTTTTTTAATTTTGAAACAAGGTCTCCCTCAATCCCCAGTATCAAACAAACTCCATAATAACAGCAAAGATGAATGTGTGCTGGGTGTGGGGAAGCACACATGTAATACCAGTAGTTGGGGAGGCTGAGACAGGAGGATCGTGAGTTCAAAGCCAGCCTCTGCAAACGTGAGACAGTAAGCAACTCAGTGAGACCCTGTCTCTAAACAAAATACAAACAAAATACAAAGTAGGGCTGGGGATGTGTCTCAGTGGTCAAGTGCCTCTGAGTTCAATCCCTGGTACCAAAAAAAAAAAAAAGTGTGACGGAGAACAAATATATGAGACCCTGGGTCTCAATCTCATCATTTAACCCTTTTGGGACAGGTCATTTTTATTGAGGGTGTAGGAGGGACTGTCCTGAATGTGTAGGAGGTTTAGCATCATCCCTGGCCTCTGCTAAACTGGATGCCAGCAGCACCCTTTGCTTGTGACAACCAAAAGTTTAGCCTGATGTTTGCAAGTCCTCAACTGTCCCGTTGAGACCCACTGGGCTAAAACACCGTCTGGCCCATTAAGAACAAGCCTGCTGACTGTTGCACCAGTACAGTAGCTTGGACAACCTTAAGCTTCATTCCCCTTTGCCTGGTCATGTTAGCCTTTGGGATACCTGAGTTGGAGACATGTGTATAGTTTGTCTCACAGCTACAAAGTTGTCTCCTACCAAGTTTGGCATAAATTTTGTTAAAGACATATAAGCTGAACATTGGGGTGGTTTTTCTTGTAGGTTATTTATTTATTTATTTTTTAATATTTTATTTTTTAGTTGTAGTTGGACACAATATCTTTATTTTTGTACTGAGGATTGAACCCAGGGCCTCGCACGTGCTAGGTGAGTGCTCTACCACTGAGCCACATCCCCAGCCCTTGTTTTTATATGTGTGTGTGTGTGTGTGTGTATATATATATATATATATATATATATATGTATATATATATATATATTTAGTTGTAGATGGACACAATAACTTTATTTTATATGGTGTTGAGGATTGAACCCAGTGCCTCACGCACTTGCATTCTAGGCAGGTGCTCTACCACTGAGCCCCAGCCCCAGCCCATAGGTTATTTATTTTTAGAGTCACTGTTTTGTGTGCTCCTGTTTTATTTCAGTAATTTGGAATTGGCATTCTGCTGCTGCAGAAGTGAGAAGCATGAGGCTTTGTAAAGGTGGATTGAAAAGCTGGAAGATTGAAATCCAGTTTTTCTCCAGCTTAATGGAGAAGTTGGGAGGGCAAGGCAGAGTTATGATGGTAGCAGGGGACCCTGAAGCTGAGAAGGGACACTTAGGCCAAAGCCTACTCCGTGTCTTTGCCGAGACCCAGGTGCTGCTGGGAAGAGTTCCTGAAAGGTAAGTGGAGTGGAAGACCGTGATGTCTGTACTGAGACCACTGCTAACTACAGGACAGGTGAAGGACAGACTGCCACTTCTCTGTGCTTTCCAATTTCCCCTTCTTCCTGTTGGCTCCAAGCAATCTCCCTACTGTCCCTGGGTTGGAAAGAATATAGTGAGCATTGTGCAGTCCTCCCCAGAGAAGAAAACTTAGTGTCACCAAGATACCAGCTCAAAGATGTGCCCTCAGCGTTAAAGGCACTTCCACCCAGCCTGCGGGGAGGGACGTTAAACAGATAAAAGGTGTGACAACGGGCTGCTCACGTGAAGCTTCTGGCTTTTGTGATTTTCTGCATCTGAGAGCTGTCCAAGTGTGCAGGGCCCTGCAGGACTACTTATGTATGAGAGCAAGTAGGCTTCCTTGGTGTGTCTCCTCGAAGATAGGTCCTACTGTGGTAGGTACTGGGAAGCACCACCTGTAACAAGAGATTCACACACTTTTCTGAGCAATGCAGTCTGAGAGGCTGCAAAACCTAGGGTTGCAGAGAAACCCATTCCTTAGGGCCGGGCGGGGCTCAGAAGTGGCACCTATGTCTCTCAGGGGCCCTCGCCTGAGAGTCCACTGTTGTTGGACCGCAGGTGGGAGGACCTAGACGTTGTGCACTCAATAGCACTCCCCACCTAGGTCATGAGGGCAGTGCAGCATGCACTTTGTCCGCCGTCGTGCTGACAGCTTCCTCGCTGTGCTCTCAGTGGATGGAACCTGCAGGCTGCTTGCTAGTGCAACGAGGAAGTCCAGGCTCAGCCAAGGTCATCCGCAGCGCGAGACTGGGGTTCGCCCGAGGGCGCTCCAGGCCCCGGCCCTCTGGCCCGCCCAAGGCGCCTGGAGCCCCAGAGCGCAGAGGCGGAAGTGGGGGCCACTAGGATGAAGTTCCAGGACCGGGGGCGTGTCCGGGGCCCTTCCCCAACAGGGAATGGCCGGCGCCAGGCATAGTCCAATGAGGCCTCTGGAGGGCGTTCCAGGTGAGCGTCCTTCATTAGACAGCTGCTGGCCTCCTCCCCTACCATAGGTGGAGCGGCTGGGCGCGGGGCGGGTCCGAGTGCATTTGCCCAATGGGCAGCGGTCGGGCATGGGCGTGGCGTGGCGCGAAGGCCGGCGCGCCCCTGTGCCCGGCGCCTGTGGCTGGGGCCGTCGCCCAGTGCCGTCGGCGGCCGCGTACCTAGCATGGCCGGCCTTGGGCGGCCGGGCCCAGGGCCGCGCGCAGCAATGCCCGCCTGGAAGCGGGAGATCCTGGAGCGAAAGCGGGCCAAATTGGCTGCCCTGGGCACGGGTCCGGGGCCCGGCGCTGCGCCCGCGGGGCCGGACGAGCGCTTGGTGCTGGCGGAGAGCCTGGGCCCGCTGCGCGAGAACCCGTTCATGCGGCTCGAGTCTGAGCGGCGGCGTGGGGCGCGGCCGGCGCAGCAGTTGCTGGAGCTGTACCGCCGTGTGCCGGGAGTGCGCACAATCCGCGCCGACAACATCCTCATCATCGAGTCGGCGCCCGGCTTCCCGCCCGCCGCGCCGCCGTCCGCCGGCATCCGCGCCGCCGAGGTGCTGGTGTTCGAGGCGCCGCCGCCCGGCCGAGTCAGCCGCCTGCTCGAGAAGTTCGATCCACCCGCCGCGCCCCGCCGCCGCGGGAGCCCCGAGCGCGCCCGCCCCGCCCCGCCGCCACCACCGCACACCGGGGTGCCCGCGCCCCCTGCCCGCCCTGCGCCCCCTGTTCAGCCGGTGCCCGCAGCTCCGCTCGCGGGCCGGCGAACTGCCTGTGGCGAGCCGGGGCGCCTCGGTGGCGGGGCCGGACCCGTGACCCGGCGCAGCGACTTTCTGAAGAAGACCGGCAGCAACTCCTTCACCGTCCACCCTCGAGGCCTGGCCCGCGGCGTGGGCACTCGCTCACTCTCCAACGGGCCCGCCGACCCCGACCCCCTCGCCGGCCCTGCCAACGGGCTCGCGAGCTCCCCAACTGCGCCGGGCGAGTGGAAGCCAAAGGTGGAGTCGGGGGAGCCCTCCCTCCACCCGCCCCCTAGCCCTGGGACCCCGAGTGCCACTACAGCCGCGCCCCCTGCCTTCTGCGCGCCCAGCTCTGCCAGTGCCACTTCCACTCCCAGCCACTGTCTGAGAGTCTCTGCTGCCGCTAGCGCCAACAGCTCCTTCGAGATAAGGCCAGCTCCCAAGCCAGACATGGAGACCATCCCTTTGGGGGACCTCCAGGCACGGGCCCTGGCTAGCCTCCGTGTGAACTCCCGCAACTCCTTCGTTTTCATCCCCAAGCGCAACGCCTCCAGGGCCCCTCTTCCCCAGGGGAAGCAGTTGGTGGAGCTGCCAAAGCCAGAGATGGGCTGGGCTTCTCAGAGTGAGGAGCTCAGAGCCCAGCTGGTGTCTGGAGGGGATGATGTGCCTGCCCTCCCAAGGAGCCCCTCTAGGATTGAGGTGCAGTGGGCAGCCAAGGAGGGGGGCTGTCCCAGGCCAGCCATCACCCTCACAGACCGGTCCATTAGGTGGCAGAGGCCATCCTCACCGCCCCCATGCCTACCAGTTACTGCTGAGGCAGAGCCTGCTGAGAGTTTGGGGATTCCCAGCTGCGCCAAGGATGATGGGGAGCATTCAAGGCCAGGACTGCCCATCACCTTCATTGATGAGGTGGACTCAGAGGAGGAAGCTCCCCAAGAAGCCAAACTACCCTGCTCAGGGGCTGAGGTGCCTCTCCAGTACCACCTGCACCGTGCCAGGCCTGAGTACTCCTCAGAGCTCCAGCAGCGAGGCAGCAACACGTTCACAGTGGTGCCCAAGAGAAAGACGGGGGCCCTGCAGATGCCACAGTCGGATCAAGCCAATGGGGAGCCCCCGCCACGGAAGCCTGAGGAAGAGGAGGCTGGTAGTCTCTCAGGATCTTTTGCTGCCCTGGGTACCACACTGAAGAAGCGCTACCCTACTGTGCATGAGATTGAGGTGATTGGTGGCTACCTGGCCCTGCAGAAGTCCTGCCTCACCAAGGCTGGTTCCTCAAGAAAGAAGGTCAGTGGTCGGGGCAGGGCTACCTTCTAGGAGAAGAGAATGAAGGACAGGGAGCTGTAGGTAGAGTGTGAGCCCAGTTCCCAGGATACCTGACCTGGTGGGGGAAGGCTTCTATCTGGACTAGAGGAGAACTGGAGCTGTGACTAGGCCCAGGGCCCTTGTGGAGTTCTAAGGCCCAACTGACCTGCTATATACTTTGCAGAGTTGAATGGGTGGGCAGCCAGCTAGTGCAGAGCCTCCTGACAGTTCTTATGGCTCCATCTGGAATTGGCTGGATAGGCCTGTGTCATTGTGGGTCTGGCTGAGCCTTGTTGGCTCTGCCCTGGCCTTAGCTTTGAAGAGTAGCCTGCTATGGTCCTATGGATCTCATCCTGCACAGTTTGTCAGGACCAGGAAGTAAGGGGGACAGAACAGAAGGCAATGATGTCGGTGCAGTCAGATCCCTACCTTGAGATCAGCATGGGGCAGAACTCATGAGCTAGTTGAAGGGGCTCTCAGTTGCCCAAAGGTCCATGGCCCAAAGCTTGGCAGGCCCTGGCCTTGCGCATGAGTGTATTGAACACTGACGATGTGTGCCAGACCTGGTCAGGAGACCCAAGAGCAGCCCTGCTGGAGGCGCACAGCAGGCTAGCCAGGTGAGCCTCACTCCTGGCCATCTCTAGCCAGTGGCCTGGAACCCTCAGGGCACAAGGAAAGCATTCCTCAGATTCTTCCTGGTCATTCTCGGGCCAGTGTTTGTCCCCTAGGGCAAATTCCAAGTCCCATTGCCTGAGTCTGTCAGCTGTAGGAGTCCAGCGTGTTCTGCTGTCGCTGGGACCAGCCTGGGTGTGCCTTCCCCTGTTGCTGGGATAACCAGAGTCCCCTGGTGTCGGCCCAGCCCACCTTTCCCCACCTGCTTCCTTGGGACGGTGGGTTATTTCCCCTCTTTGTCTTCCTGCCCCGGGAATTGGCCTTAACATTATCCCTCCTGCAGACTCCCATCTGCTGGGTCAGAAACCCATAATGATCTCCCTGAGGGTTCCAGGCTGGGGGGTCAGGGCTGTGACCTGAGGTGCCCTGTGGGGCTCTCTCCCACTCTTGGCCTTGCTCACTCTGAGCCCTTGAGGGAAGGCTGGGCTGTACCTGAGCAGTCGCTGCTCCAGCCTCTGTCCGTATCCAGCCTCTGTTCCTCCCTCCCTGCTTCCTGACTGGACCTTGCCCTTCTGTCAGGTGGTCCCTCCCCATGTTTGCCCCAGAAGTAGAGGGGATGACAGTGTGCTCATGTAGATGAAGAGGTAGGCTCAGGAGGTTTATGGGGCCATGGAGCTCTGGGGGCAGGAGCTGAGTCCAGGTTCCTGTTTCCAGAGCCTTACCCCTAACTAGTGTTACCTGTCCACCATGAGCCTGGCCTCTTCCTGGGTCTTGGGGGGAGCTGCCAGAGCATGGCCATCTGCCTTCAGCCAGCAACAGAACCATGGTCCACTTGCAGCTGAGCTGGAGTGAGAGGGGTAGGGCAGAAGGAACTGTGGGAGGCAGGGCTGAGACTGAGAAGCAGTCTCCATGCCAGCCCGAAGCGCTGAGGGTCCAGATGGATGGCACCAGGCATGGTTAAGCAGGCTGGCCAGGGCCCTGCCTGAGCTGTACCACCTGCTGGTGGACATCCTGCCTGTGCCCACACCAGCTGCCCTACCCAGCAAGAGCCGGGAGGCCTGTTGGGAAAGGACAGGGCATGCCCAGCCTTTCAGAACACTCTGCCTTTTCCTGGGCATCCCTCCTGCCTGTAGTCCCTGGGCCACGAGCACCCCATGGGGTACTTCGGCAGGCCCCCAGCTGCTGAGCCAGCCTTTGGTCAAGCACTTTCCTGCTCTCCCTTGGGGAAGTGGGTGGGCTGGGGGCACAGCCTGGAGGACCTGGGGCAGACTGTTCACTTGGTGGCTCCTAGGCGATGGTGGGAAGTGCTAATGACTTTCCCAGGGTGTAGGTGAGGGGCAGCTCTTCAGGAACTGTCTGGCAGCAAGGTGAGCGGGAGAGCCTGGCCCTGGCCTGACAGCCCTCACTTAACTTCAGAGGCCCAGACCTGCTCTGAGTGGTGGGGCACCTCCTCGCTGGCCTGTGCCCCACAGAGCCTGCCTGGCAGGGGCACGTTTCCACTTAGGTTGTTTGTTTGCCTTCTTCTTCCCTCCCTCTGTGAGCTGGAGAGCGTACTTCCACTATCGTGGCCCAACGCAGTTGCAGCCACTCTGCCCACTCGGCAGTCCTCCTAGAGGTTGGGAATGTCTTTTCACCCCTCCTCATGCTGCCTCCCAAAGGGATGGACACTGTGGAGTGCCACCTGTCCTGATTCCTGTCTGGCTGTGGCTTCCCCTCCCCATCTCCTGGTCCTCTGTCCAACCCAAGCATGTCAGTGTCCCCAGAACTCAGTCATTGATACCTAGGCCTCCCACCTCACCTTCAGTTAACTTTTTTCACCCCAAATTCCAGGGTTCAGTTGAGGCGCTCAGCTTCATTCCCATCTGTAGACACCAGGGTATGGCCCTCATGAACCGTCCCTGAGTCACCCCTCCCTGCCAGCTTGGAACCCTCCCCCACAGCACACAGACCTAGTCTCCTCTCACCTACTGTCCTTTTCTTCCAGCTCCCTCCTCCCACTTCCCATGAGCACCCCGGAGGTGGTCTTTCTGGGGCCAGGAACCCCAGGACCTACTCCAGATGGCTTCCTCACTTGTAGAGGATCTGCCCAGTGCTGGAGGCCAAGTGTGCCTCTGGGAACAAGCAGCTGTGTACATCCCAGCCGGGTTTTCCTGGTCCTGTGTCCTGTCACCCATGGGGACTTTGACTGGAGGCTGTGGCAGGAGGGCAGGGCCAACCTCAGTGCACACTTCCAGGCAGATTAAGCCCAGCTCGCTGGCCCTCAGTCCATTGTGGACACCCTTCAGTAATCCAAGCTGGGAGTGCATCGGCAGGGTGGGTGGAGGGAGAACAAAAGGGCCCTGTGAACGCCCAGAGGCTCCTCTACCACCTGCCTGCCGAGTTGGGTGTGATGGGCAAAGTCCCTTAGAGGCCAGTGACCAGGTGTATGCAGTACCAGCCCTGGCCACACCCTCCACCCATCCTGGCAGCCCAGGGTCTGGAGGGTGCCCCACTCCACAGCAGTATGAGTCATGGGATGTCCTGTGACCCACTAACCTGTGTTCTAAGGGGAAGGGAGGGCTGTGAGGCCCACACAGCACTGGCCCAGTAGAGAAGACAAGGGAGGCAAGACGTGATGGGGACCCTGGGTCCCAGCTGGGACTGATGGGCCTGTGAGCACCTCCCGCTCAGCCCAGCCAGGCAGTGCCAGGCTCAGTGCCCACGTGCATCCAACCCCCAGGCCTCTCTGGTAGGAGCCAGTCATGCGGACTAACGAGGGCTTACTAATCCCGCCAGGCCCTGGCAGCTGGTCCTTCCTGTGTTGGGGGATGGGTCAGGGTCAGCAGAGAAAGCTCCATGTATCCATGGGCCACTGGGAGCCCAGTTCACCATGGGACTTGGGGCAGGAGGAGCCCAGTTTCATCCTACCTTGGGCCCCTCCTGGAGTATCTGTCCTCAAGGGCTGTTTATGAGGGCCAGGTGACACTGTCCTCAAGCTGACTGGCAGCAGGTAGATGTCTGTGGGGTCCAGTGGCTACCCCACTGTCATGGCCTTGTCTCTGTCCCATCTCCCATGGGACCACAGCTGGAGGACTGGGTGGGCCTACTAGAGGGCAGGGTCAGGTGAGGGACAGCTTGCCTTCACCTGACAGCAGACATCTTCCTTCTATTATGCCTGACCCAGGTGGTCTTCCCATCTGCTCATCTCCCTGACCACATGTCTGTGCGGACAGCTAGGCTGGGGGGCTGGGTGGGAGTTGGACTTGGTGATGCATTGCTTTGCAAGGCTCTGTGTGAGCAGGTAGAGATAGGGGCACTGGGAGCTTAGGCAGTCACCCCTCATCCCTGAAGGGCCAGGCTAACCATAGCTGTGAGTGCAGCTGTCAGGGCTGAGAAGCAGGAGGCAGAAGTGTGTGCCTTCATCTCTGGAGACCTCCTCACAGGAAGTGCCTCTTACCCCTGGTGGGCCCTGTGTGCATGCCTTGTGGCCTGTACCTGGTCCCTCTGCCATCCTGTACCTCGGCTGCTTTGGAGCAAGCCCTCCTGCCAGGCCACTCTCCCATTCGGCTGTGCCTGGGCTGCTCTGGTTCTCTGCCTGGGGCTGTTCCTGCCTCCAGCTCCTTCCAGGGGAGGTGGGGGAACTTGAGCTGGCTGCTGGTGTCTTGTGCCCAGGAGTTTAATATTTCGAGCCCCAGCAGGGCTGTTCCCATCTGCTCAGGCTGGTAGCTGCTCATATTCATTACGGTCCAGTCGGGCTCAGGCCAAGCTCAGCTGAGCAGGTCTGGGGAGACTGAGTTGCCCCCAGCAGAGCCTGACCTGGTTGAACAAGGGGAGGATCCTAACCAAGAGTGCCCATGGCCCTCTGCCCCCCCCCCCCCCCAGAAGCCCACTTTGGGCTCTGAGACTACCAGAAGTGGGAAGAATTTGCTCAGGTGTGAAATTCCGGAGCCTGTGGCGTGGGCAGTAGGGTGGGAGTTGGAGGTCACTGGCACCCCAGGTTTACAGAAGCAGACCCACCACTTGGCCTGTAAAATGGGTGAGGGAGGGCTGTGAGGCCCTTACAGGTGCTGGCCTTTCATGCAGGCCCTTGGTAGTGTGGTGGTCAGTGCTATCCAGGATTGTCCAGGTGCCCAGATGGCCAGGATATAAACTTGGTTTTAGGAGCTGCTGGAGGACAAGGGTTGAGGTGCTGCGTGAGGCCTTCAGCTCCAGGTAAAGGGTGCTTTCCACCTGCTTAAAGCCTCCAAAGGGCTGATGGGCCCTTACTAGACATGTTCCTCACTCCCAGATGAAGATTTCCTTTAATGACAAGAGTCTACAGACCACATTCGAGTACCCCTCCGAGAGCTCCCTAGTGCAGGAGGAAGAGGTGGAGGCTGAAGAGGAGGAGGAGGAAGAAGGAGAGGAGGGGGAAGAGGAAGACGAGAGACTTGGTTCAGAGGAGAAACCCTTTACCCTCTTCCTGCCCCGTGCCACGTTTGTGAGCGGCGTGGGGCCCGAGAGCCCCTGGCTGCCAGAGGGCAGCTCAGGTGAGTGTCCTATGATGGGCAGCTGGGAGGGGGTGGCGCCTGGGCCACACGTTCACGTATCTGTGTGTCCATGCACGTGCTCCTTGGCCCACAGGCCTGTCCAGCTATACTCCAAAGCACTCCATGGCCTTCAGCAAGTGGCAGGAGCAGACACTGGTGCAGGCTCCAAGGGAGGCAGAGCCCCCACCCAAGGAGGTCATGGTGAGTTAGCACAACAGGAGTACATACCCACAGTACCAAGGGCTATCTGGCGGGGGACAGGGGGCAGGTTGGTGCCTAGACAAATCCCAGTGGCTTTGTTTTGTCCTTCCTCTTCAGCTCACACCTGCCAGTCAGAACGACCTCTCCGACTTCCGCAGTGAGCCTGCCCTCTACTTCTGACCCCTGTGCTGCCAGGATGGCCAAGGCTGAGCCCCAGATGTGGTGACCCTGGGAGCCAGACAGTGCCCAAGAGCCCTACCCTTACTTTGCACCTGTGCCTCTTGGCCCTGCTCACCAGCCCTTCCTTCCTATGGCCTCATACCCACGCTGGCCCCAGAAGCAACTGGGTTCCTCCCACTGTCAGGTCAAGTCTTTCTGGGTTTCATCCTGGATTTGGGGACTCCAAGGAAGAGCACAAGTGGGGGACTTCTTGTGAGGAGGGCTGGGGTACTGCTGGACAGTGTCTGTCTATGATCAGGTAGGGACCTGGGCAGATTCCAATCCAGGCTGCCCTCTGTCCTGCCTCCAAGGCTACCTCCCAGCCCTGCTGCTGTGCCTGGCAACTAACGGGCATGTGGAGGTCAGAGGCTGTCCCAGCTGCTGTCCTTTGCAGGATTCCTAGCCCCCTGTCCTCAGCTCACATTCCTACCACGGTGGAGCTCAGCCTACCCTCTGACAGATGGCAAGTGTTTTCTTGCTTCTGATGTTGGACTCAATAAACAACACTGGACAAGGCGGCCTCTGCTTCCCTGCTTGTTCCCCAGCCTGAGAACAGGGTGAAGGGCCAGCCTGGGTCAAGGAGGGTGGGAGGTAGTTCCAGTGGTTCTCATCTGAGGTCCTACTAGTCCCAGCTCTTATCCACCACAACCCATTATCCTGCTTCCCACTCTCCCAGCCTTCCAGAGCCCACAGTGGGAAGCAGCAGTCAGGTCTGGAACTCATCCTGGATTTCATCCTAGGATGAAATCTAGAACCAGGGGCCTAAACTCCAAGTGGGAAGGTGAGTGTATTTCAGCTATCAGGTCCAAAGTGGCTTTGTCAGGGGCCAGGAGCCTGGAAGGGTGCCAAGGCAGGACAGAGTGGGAGGTGCAAGAGTATTAGGTGGGAGAAGCCTTGGGGATCTTGTCTCATGTTTGCCTTGGAAGCTCCTTGACCCACAATAGCCTACAACAAGATCCTGGCAGCAGACAGCTTTGCAGATGCCAGGGAGAGACAGGGCTACCTGCTTGGGAGCAGCCCCAGCTGGAGTCCAACATGCTCAGCTGCAGTGCAGAGCTGGGGTTGTCTACAGCTACTCAAGTGCCAAATGCAAGTGTTGCATCCTGGAGAGCTGAACCCAAGATCAGAGTTGCTGTCCAACCAGGCTCTTGGAGGGAGGAGAGTAGTTGGTTGCCCAGGAGGGGTGGGCCCAATTTCCTCTGGACCCTCTTGGCAAACACAAGCTTTAAACAAGCCCAGACCCTGGGCAGCTGCAGGGACCCCATGAAGGCCAACAGAGCTGGGCCCAGGGTGCCTGGAAGGATAGAACTGGGCAACGATTGGTGTATGGCTAGGGAGGAACACCAGCCCCTGCCAGCAGCAGAACTTGGCATGAAGAATGGGCATGGGTGAAGTCCCCCTATTCCCTACTGAGCAGGACCTGGGTTTCCAGTGGCTGGTGTGGGTACTTAGGGGTCACTAGTTATCTCTAGCCCAGGTTCTTTGCTTGACAATAGGGTGTGGCAGAAACCCTCATAGGACAGGGGACAGGATCAGCAATTCTACTGGAAGAGCTGAGGCTGGGGCTGACCTAGGCAAGGTGGGCCCTCGGCTCTGTGTCCCTGAAATAAGAGGAGCAGTCACAGGGAAAGCCACTACAGGCCTTCCCCTCCCTAGAAGGAGCCCCCAAAGCTGGACAAGATTTGCATTCTGGCTCTGCAGGTGTCTGGCAGCCCATGTGCTAGGCAGATAGGAGGCTGGTAAGGATCTGTACAAAAACAACCTTTATTGACAACCTGGGTTCTGGGGTGAGTGAGGCCCCTTTCCCCACTTGTCTCGCCTGGACCCTGATGACTGAGGTGGGACAAAGTAAGGGGCTTCCACAGTGCTGAAATTAGAACCAGGATCTTTCTGGCAGCCCAAGAGAACATGGGGGCCTCAAAAGAGAGGCCCCTTGCAGAGCTGACCTGGAGCCCAACATCCTCATTGCCTGGATGAGCCAGAGGTAGAACCTTTCCCACCCCTGTGGGCTGTGCCTAGGGTTTTTCTTATCACCCTAGGCTGGTAGAGGTTGACAACAGCCCCTCTGGGCACCTGAAACAGTGAGAAGACAGTTGCTGCCATGAAGAGGATGCTTTAAGATAGATGTGCTGAGGGCTGAGTGGTCATGGGGCACATCTGAGACAGGCCCCTACCCACCCAGCCCATCAGCTGTCCTTGCCTCCGCTGCTCTTCTGGTCTGAGGCTGTGGCCTTGGTTAGGTTCCCGGCTTCCCTCTTCAGGACACTGAGCAGAGTCTGTGAGCTTTCCAAAATCTGGAGCCACAGAGAGAAGGTTGCTGCTGCTTTTGGCCATCAGTCCCTCTGCCTCAGCCCCCTTACATGAGGTGTTGGAATCTGGGAAGGGCCCCCTTCCTTCCTAAGTTTGACCCACAACCCTCTCCTCCCGCCCTGTGAAACAGGCTGGGCTAGCTCTGGCCTATGCGGTACGCTCTGCTCCTCTCGTTGAGCACAACGCACCACAGTTAAGGAGGATGCAGGACGCCAAGGGCCTCGCAGGCAGCCCCACGGTTAAGCCTGTAGCGGCCGCGGTTCTTGGCCTGCCCACGCTGCCCCAGTCGAAGATGCCAGCAAGGCACAGGTAGGAGCCCAACCTTGAGGTAGGCGGCCTCCGTCTCCGCGATGGTCCGGTCAAACTCGTTGCGAGAGGCGATCTTGCGCGCCAGGTTCTCGTTGACGCGGGCCAGCTTCTCCGTCAGCTGCCTCACCTCGTTCTGCAGCCGCTGCTTCTCGTCCTCCTCCTGCTGGATCTGCCGGCACAGCTCCTCTCGCTTCTGACACAGCTCCTCGATGCCTGAGCGGAGGGGGGGGGGGAGAGACACCGCGCCGTGGGCCAGAGGCGGAGGCAGCCTCCGCTCCCGGGTGGAGGTCGGCGGTGGAGGCCGGCTCGAACCGCGCACGTCCCGGCCTGGCCTCCGGGGCGCAGGACCGTGCCAGGCGCCGTCCAGAAAGACGCGGCTCTGGGCTCGCGCGGGCCGGTTCGCGCGGCCTCCCTGAGGCAGGCGGGGCCCAGACCCCCGCCCCGCGGCCCTCTGCCCCCCACTCCCCGCCGCTCACACTTGACTAGCTCGTTGTTGTAGTTCTGCAGCGCCGCGCCCTGCTGGGTCATGGTCAGCAACGCGTCCCGCCGCTTCAACCGCCGCCGGCGTAGCTCGGCTCGCGCCTGCGCACTCCCCCAGTAGCGCGCCGCCTGACGTCATCGCCGTGCGCCTCTCGCGTGCCTCACGTCGACGTGCCGCGCCCAGCGTACGTCATCGCCGGGAGCCACGCAGGGCGGGTCGGGGAACCGGTGGGCGCTGATGGAGACGGAGGCTACGGAGGCGGCGGCGGCGGCGGCGGCGGCGGCAGTGGGAGGCGGCGGCGGGCCTGGGCAGGAGCTATTGGTGGCCTGGAATACCGTGAGCACCGGGCTGGTGCCGCCGGCTGCGCTGGGCCTGGTGAGGCCCGGGAAGGGAGCGGCGGGCCCGCGCGAGGTTCCCGGGACCCTGCGCGCTTTAGGCCGTCCATCCCAGGGTCCACTCGGCTTCGCCCGCTGCGCGCTGTGGCGCCGCCTCTTTCCTCCACTGTCCCGCTTCGTTTCGCTCCCCTGGTAGCCCTTCCCTAGCGTCGGCCGCGGGTGGGAGCAGCGGGGTTTCCGCAGCCTCTCCTCCGCTCCTCTGCTCCCCCGTCTGCGCCGTCTCCCCTTTCCTCAACGGTTTTCCGCGCTCCAGGCGTCCTCCCGGACCAGCGGTGCGGTCCCGCCAAAGGAGGAGGAGCTCCGTGCGGCGGTGGAGGTACTGAGGGGCCATGGTCTGCACTCAGTCCTGGAGGAGTGGTTCGTGGAGGTGCTCCAGAACGACCTGCAGGCGAACATCTCTCCCGAGTTCTGGAATGCCATCTCCCAGCGCGAGAACTCTGCCGATGAACCCCAGTGCCTTCTGCTGCTCCTTGACGCTTTTGGCCTGCTGGAGAGCCGCCTGGACCCCTACTTGCGCAGCCTAGACCTCCTGGAGAAATGGACTCGTCTGGGCTTGCTGATGGGCACTGGTGCCCAAGGGCTGCGGGAAAAGGTCCACATCATGTTGCGGGGGGTTCTGTTCTTTTCCACCCCTAGGACTTTCCAGGAGATGGTCCAGCGCCTCTATGGGCGTTTCCTGAGAGTCTATATGCAGAGTAAGAGAAAAGGGGAAGGGGGCACAGATCCAGAACTGGAGGGGGAATTGGACAGTCGGTATGCACGACGTCGGTACTATCGGCTCCTGCAGAGTCCTCTGTGTGCAGGATGTGGCAGTGACAAGCAGCAGTGTTGGTGCCGCCAGGCGCTCGAGCAGTTCCACCAGCTCAGCCAGGTCCTGTGAGTACTTCTGCCTGGTAGTTGTGCCCCTGCACCTCCTAATGACCCACTTACTCCTCTGGGTCCAGCTGTTTTTCGTAGGGAGCTGGTGAGCTAGATGGGGGCGGGGTTGTGTTTTGTCTTCTTCCAGCTGTCCTGATAGCCAGAGACATGACAGAGGGATCTTTGTGTGGCAAGTTAACACTCTATCCTGGACACAGAAGTGCCTTTTGTCACTCACATCTATCCCAGGGTTTCAGCTTTGGCCTTGCTGGGACCCCACATGGCTTGCGTCTGCATTAGCAGATTTCTTTTGATTCCAGACTTGCTGGGCTCCACAGAATTCTACTGTGCTTTTTGTAGACTCACTGAGGGAGAAATAGCATTCATTCCCATGGGAGTCCTCACTTTGTAATTGTGAAGGATGTGCTTGCTGGTTCTTCTTTCCCAAATGTGTCGGAGATTAGGCCACTGTGTCGGTAAACAGGTTTTCTTCCCAGTCCTTCAGAGGGGAAAAGAGGTTCTGCTGTTGTTAGAGCCACATCCTATTGTAGTCTTCTAGTGAGTTTTTCTTCCTCTGTAGCCGTCTGTGGTGGTTTGCCACGTTGAACAACAGGCAGTGATGCAGTTTGGGAAAGTCTGTTAGGTGACTGAGGGAGCGATTCTGTGGCTGGCCATCATGGAGGAGGCCCTGAAGGGCTGCTGCTATGTTCATCCCAGGTGTAACTTAGTAACTTAGTTACTTAACATAGTAACCTTCTTTCTCCTCTCAAATCTCATCTGCTACTGTAGGTCTAGGTCTGCACTGGAAGTACGAGCATCAGCAGCTGTACTCATGTAGCAGGGCAGTGGTGTGTCAGAGCCCTCCCTAGATGAGACTTGTGCCTTGGTAGCTGTGCCTACTGCCACTGATTGATTACACGGAGAATAGCAGTGCCCTAGTCTGAGCAGAGACCAGCTAGACAGGAAGGGCAGTGCTTTGCCAGTGCTCTGTCTTGCCAGCAGCTTTTCCTCAATGTCATTAGTAGAGTTGCCTTCACTCCCCACATCAGGAGAGCTGTGGGGAGAGATTCTCTGGGCACTGGGTGTTGGGTAGTGTGTACCTGGCATGTACTCTAGGCAGGGCTGACCTGGGCAAGGGGCAGGTGTGTGTTACGGGTGCTCCACGGGCAGGGTTCTCCTGTAGGCACAGGCTCAGTCTGCTGGAGCGGGTCAGTGCCGAGGCGGTGACCACTACACTACACCAGGTGACCCGGGAGAGGATGGAGGACCGCTGTCGGGGCGAGTATGAGCGCTCCTTCCTCCGAGAGTTCCACAAGGTAAGGATCCCCCTCTTGGACTGTGCTCCTCACACTAGGGGTGGGACTATGTTTTGGACAAACCTCATACCCTGACTGTAGAAGCAGCCAGAGTGTGTTGGCCTAGGTGGACCGGGTCCAGGACCAGGTAGTAGTTGAAGCTTTCTTAGTCCTTTTGGTCTCTGGTAACAATGAGGACATATCCACTTGTGCTGGGGATTGAACCCAGACATGCACTATCACCACACTACATCCCCAGCAGTTCTTATCTTTCATTTTGAAACAGGGTTTTGCTAAGTTGCCAAGGCTGTTCTCGAACTTGTAGTCCCCCTGCCTTAGCCTCCTGCGTAGCTGGGGTTACAGGTGTGCACTACCATGCCTGACTCAGACTCTCTGCTGCCCTATGTGTGGGCTCCCTTAGCAGTTTCCTTATGGACCAACCTGCAACGAGGGGCTCGTGGTCCCAGTGCAGGACCTCAAGGTGTGTTCTGTGACTCTGCTCTGGGTTCCTAGTGTTGTGGAGAAGCTGGGCCCAGCCCTTGAGATTGTCCACTTTGCTCCTGTTTCTCCTGTCTTCCCCCCACTGCTTCCAGGTGTTTTGTCTCCTGTAGGTGCAGATTAGCTGCATTGGGGTGGTCAAAATGGATGCCCCCACTGTACTGATCTAGAGCAGGTGGGAGCCCTGCAAGGGCTAGCTACTATGGGTAGGTGTAATGTGCTCCAGGTAGTGGAGTGGAGAAGGTAAACTTTCAGGGTGGTCTTGCTGTTGGTCTGTGGATCTGTGTGTGTCCACAGGTCCACATGGCAGAATGTCTTCCTATGGGTTTACACACATGGATGATTTCACTGTATGTTGCGTTTTTTGCACAGGAGTTGTTTTTTGATAGTCACATCTGTGGTTCCAAGAGTGGATTTACTCACTAAGTCATTGGATGGCATGCAGATCATGTGTGCCATCTTTTCACACTAGGATCATTGTTACCAGAGATGCATGTGGGCACTGACATCCATGAGTGTTGTACTGATTTTGGGGGTGCCAGAAACGCCCATTTGGGAGCCTATTATCCTGCATGTTTTGATGTATTTCTGGTCCCCGGATGCTTGGCTTTGGGGGCTCACTGTTATCTAGCCAGATGGTGGGCAGTTGCTGGGTCAGCTGGAGCTTGCTCAGTGTCCCAGTGCCTCACACACCAGTGCTCTCTCACAGTGGATCGAGAGGGTGGTTGGCTGGCTGGGCAAAGTGTTCCTGCAGGATGGCCCCAGCAGACCTGCATCCCCTGAGGCTGGCAGCACGCTGCGCCGCTGGCGCTGCCATGTGCAGAGGTTCTTCTACCGCATCTATGCCAGCCTGCGCATTGAGGAGCTTTTCAGCATCATCCGAGGTTGGTCCTGCCCCAACTCCTGCATCACTTACCGGGGCCTTCCTCAGCGCCTTTGCTGTGTCCCCTCTAGAGCTGCACCTACAGCCCTTGCAGGGTGGTGCATCAAGTGAAGCAGGACCCTCCCTACTGTAGCTTCTGGGTGTCTATACTCCTTTGTTGTCTCGGTCTTGGTTCTTGCTTGGGGACTGGTCCTGGGCATCACTTTTGTCTTTTCTTTCCTGTGGAATTCTTTGGTCAAATGGTCAACACAGAAAAGTGTCGAGGGTGATTGAGGTCCATTGCCCAACAGGTGGCTCTCATTCAGGGCCTCTGCAAAACTGTATGTCCTCTCGCACACTAGGCACACCTTCACCAGCCACATGCTCACACACCTTTCTGTCCCTGAGTGATGTCCCTTCTTTGCAGATTTTCCAGACTCCCGGCCAGCCATCGAGGACCTCAAATATTGCCTGGAGCGGACTGACCAGAGGCAGCAGCTGCTCGTGTCCCTCAGGGCTGCTCTGGAAACTCGGCTCCTCCACCCAGGTGCCCCACACAGTCACTGCCAGCTTCAGCCCTTGGGCTCAGATGCCATTCCTAGATGCCAAGCCCTAGACTTGTAGCTTTAAGGAAGCGATGGGTAGGAAGCAGCCTTTTTGTGATTCTCAGGGGAGCTGTGGCCAACCTCAGCTTCAATTCTCTGAAATCATGACCTGCCTAGTTTGACCTGGGATGGACATGGTCTCAGAACAGAGTGCCTGGCAGAGGGAGAGCTTGCTGCTGAAGAATTTTGGAGAGTCCTGAAAGTGGGTGGAGGTGGAGGTGGGGATGGGACCCAGGGTAGTGATCTGCTGGCACCAGGGAGGCTCTTATCTTGGGCACTGTGTGAGCTCTGCCTTATTCTTTTGGCCGTAGGCGTCAACACATGCGACATCATCACTCTCTACATCTCTGCCATCAAGGCGCTGCGCGTCCTGGATCCTTCCATGGTCATCCTGGAAGTGGCTTGTGAGCCTATCCGCCGCTACCTGAGGTAAGGGCTGTGGCTGCCTGGGAGCCACTGTACTCAGCTTTCTTGTCCTACTGAACTTCTTATAGTTCCGTCCAGTGGAAGCCAGAGGTCCTCAGGACAGCAGGAACTTGAGAATTATCCTGATTGACAAAGTCTACTGGCCCAGGCCAGGGGTTCCTTTCCCCTTGCCAGTGTGGGATACCTGTCCACTCCACATCGCTATGGTATCACTGTACGCTCTGTGTACAGTGGCTACAGGCCCAACCTCAGCTTCTTCCCAGCACCCCTCTTAGCACAGAGAGAAAGACTTCTCTACTTGGCATTGGCCTTGTTGCTGACCAGTTCCTGCAGAGTAGAGAAGAGAACTAGGCTCTGTGTTTGAACAGGTGCCTTGGCACAGTTGCCCAGAAATCTTTCAGGCAGCAAAGGTCCTGGGCTCAGGGAGTGGGGCCCAAGGACCTGAGCAGCAGGAGCTGGCAGGTGTCTGGTCAGTTTGCTGTTTCCTAACCACAATTAGACTAGTCTTTGGGTTTCTGATCGTATTGGTCCTCACTGGTCCCATAATGGTATTGAATCCGTTTTGGAAATTCAGATGTGCCTATCTTTAGTACCAGTCTATTGGCACTGGCCATAGGGGTGGTCAGGTGGTATTGGCATGGCTGTACTGGGTCTAAGGTTAGGGTGGGTGTTGTGAAGGCCATTCAGACAGTGGGGACAGCAGCACTCACCCTGGCAGGACACGGGAGGACACAGTGCGACAGATTGTGGCAGGGCTGACTGGGGACTCTGATGGAACTGGAGACTTGGCTGTTGAGCTGTCCAAGACCGACCCAGCCAGCCTGGAGACTGGCCAGGACAGTGAGGATGACTCTGGAGAGCCTGAAGACTGGGTGCCTGACCCTGTGGATGCTGACCCAGGTCAGCTCGCCCCACCAGCTTCTCTCCTCCCCTCCCCTCCCCTCCTCTCCCGGGCCTGTCTAGGGGTCTGCTGCTTCACTGTGTCTGGAGCAGCCATCACCTTAAGCTCGGGATCCAAGGTCAGAGCCTTGTCAACATCAGCCAATTTTTTGTGCCCCTTCACTGGTCACCTCAGTTGTGGGAGGTACCCCACCCCTTGTGGATGTTGCTTGTGGAGGAGTTGGGTTCATGGCAGGGTTGTGGCTCCTCTGTGTGGGGTCTCTGATGACTGTGGGTCCCTGCCCTGCTCCTGTCCTGGCATAGTTAGTCTTTGGTCTCTGAGAGTAAAACCCAAGGTCCTTTAGTTTGTTCCTGAGCCTGGATGGGGGTTCAGCAAGACCTCTGAGACGGCTGGGCTGGGGGATCAGAGCCTAGGTCTGTTGGGAATCACTGGGTCATTCCCAGCCACATCAAGGAGCAGTGAGCCCTCCAGGCTGTGCTGGGCTGCGGTGTCCAGCAAGGTGGGCTCTGGGGTGTTCCTGTCCTTGCTGAGGTGCCTGTGATGTGACTCCCCCTGGGCCAGGGAAGTCAAGCTCCAAGCGGCGCTCCTCAGATATCATCAGCCTGCTGGTCAGCATCTATGGCAGCAAGGACCTTTTCATCAACGAGTACCGCTCCCTGCTGGCCGACCGGCTCCTGCACCAGTTCAGCTTTAGCCCTGAGCGGTAAGGCCTGTGAGGTGCCCGCTGACCTCCAGGGGGTGCTGCCTGCTGCTTTCTCAGCCACAGGAGCTGTACTTCTGCTGTCTTGGTGGTGGGTTGCCTGGGCAGGCTCTGGGCTGCACATGTCGGTTGGGGTGGGGCACACCATAGCCCTTCCCAGAAACGCAATCTTCCAGGGAGATCCGTAACGTGGAGCTGCTGAAACTGCGTTTTGGTGAGGCCCCAATGCACTTCTGTGAGGTCATGCTGAAGGTGGGTGTCTACAGCCGGCTCCCCAGCCCCTGACCTTACTCCTCCAGCCAGGACCTTGGTAATATGCTTTGCCCTTCTCAGGACATGGCAGATTCCCGCCGTATCAACGCCAACATCCGAGAGGAGGATGAGAAGCGGCCTGTGGAGGAACAGCCACCTTTTGGGGTTTATGCTGTTATCTTGTCCAGTGAGTTCTGGCCTCCCTTTAAGGATGAGAAGCTGGAGGTCCCCGAGGACATCAGGGCAGCCCTGGAGGTTTACTGCAAGAAGTATGAGAAGCTGAAGGTATGGCTGCCAAGCCTCTTCTGTCTCTAGTCCACCATCAACTCCTGCTCTCTCTGGATCGGTCCCTGCCCAGCCACCCCTGCAGGAGGGGCGTGGGCATGGCTGTGCTCCTATGGTGTGTGTGCAGGTGCTCCTTCAGCTGTCATCCTGACTCAGGGACCTGGGACCACAGCAAGCCCCTGGCCCTGAGCTCCCTCTCCTCTGCTGTGCATGGCTCCCCCCTGTTAGGGTCATTCAAGATTGCATCTCTGCTGTGATCTCCACTCTCTAGCCCCCTTGGCCTCCATTGTCCTGTTCCCAACCTTCCTCCTGGCTTTCTTTTCCCAAAGATGCTTTCCAGTTCTCAAAGGCACTCAGGGACTAGAATTGTACAATTGTAATAAGAGCCCTGGGAGGCACAGGGGTAGGGCAAGGAGCGCGAGGGGAGCAGGCAGTGCATACCAGGGAGAGAGGGGACCACTGGTCTGGAGGTCACTAGCTGGTGTAATAGGATTGGCCCCCTGTGGTACATGCTTCCTGAAGTATAGATGGGCCCAGTGGTACCAGGAGCTGGAGTCCCACTTGAAGGTGGGTAGGGGAGTTCAGGGGTCAGCCATGTGGGGAGAGGAAGCAACTAGATATCCAGCCAGGCTCTGGACACAGAGTAAACACAGGATCCAGTCCATGTGGTGCTACCCAGTGAGTGGTGGAGCCTGCAAGGAGCTGGGCACCCCAGCAGAGCAGGCAGAGGATGTGAGAGGTGGCCTTGGAACAAAAGCGTCTGGGAGGTGAACCCTGACCTCTGGAGATGGGTGAACCGGCAGTAGCCAGAGCTTGAGGCAAGGGAGCTGGGCTGTGGGAGCGTTGGCAGGTAGTCTGTTCACTGTGAGGAGGTGCTGGATCTCCTGCAGATGAAAGGCCTTGTCCTGCTTACAGGCTGACTTACCACTGGACGGGACAGTGAGTCCCCTTAGTACTGGAGAGAGTGTTGCTTTCTAGAGGTAGATAAAGGGAGCCTGTGCACAGAGGCCACGGAGGGGATGGGCTTGTGCTAGTGGCCACGAGAGCCTGGCTGCCTGCCCACACCTCAGCTCAGGTTCTGGAAGAGCTGCGTCTGCATGGCCCTCCCAGATGCCAGGTAGAAAGGTAGGCTGCTGGCTGCCTGGAATCTCCAGCTCCTACCCGTGCAGTGGCACGTGTGCTTACAGTCTGCAGGCACCCAGCCCACCACGTCCTGGTCGAGAACCTCTGGGTGGCCAGGCCCACACCCTCAACGCCCTCTCCCTCTGCCCTTTCTGCTTGCCCTGTTGGTGTGGGGCATCCATTGGTCTTCCACCAGCTTGAACCTTGGGTCCCAGGCATGGCTTGGCCACACCCTCTCGCTCAGGCCTAATGTGCTGGGATACAACCCTTTGGTGGTACTCTTCTCAGCTCTAGCTGGACTTTGGAGTGGCTTAGGAGGACACCTGGGCCATGCTGAGAGGGGGGCCAGGCCTGTGGCCATAATTCCTGTCTGCTGCCAGAAGAGCTCCTGGATGAGGACCTTGATGGATGTGTGTGGCTGTGTGACCCATTGTTTACACCTGTGTCTTGCCATGTCCGTCCTGCTGTGGCACTTGGGAAGGTCCTGCTTGGAGCCAGAGCTGGGAGGGCTCTGTTGGCTGCAACATGGCAAGCCACTGGCTCTGCTCCCATTTCTGTCTGTAAAGTAGGGTTCCTTGGTGCCTGTCCCTAGGGCTGCAAGAGTCCCAGAAGGACTCAGAGCAGTACTTGGTCCCAAGAGCAGCTGAACCAGTGTTCTGGGGCTGTCATAACAAAGTGCCACAGACTAGGGTCTCTGAGAACAGAAACATTAAGGGATCACAAGCGAAATGTCATAGGGCCACACTCCCTTCTGAGGTTCTAGGGAAGGTTCCTTCCCTCCTAACCCAAGGCCCCAAGAGAACTTGGGGTGCTGTGTTTCTCCCACGTATCCCTGGGATTTAGAACTTTAACATCTCTTAATGTGGGGCAGGGCACAGATCAATCCATCACAGTCTGCTCTATGGTCCTCCAAATTCAGGTCTCTTATGCATGCTTCTCTTAACATCCCTAAAAAATCATAACTCTTTAGCGTCAACTCTTAAGTGTGTTCTCTTGTATGTGAACACAGAGTCCCAAATCTCAACATGTAAATCTCAGGAGATGTAATTGTGACTTGGAGTCTGATCTGTCTGGGGCAGATTCCCTGTCCAGCTGTGAAATGAGGTTACCTGGTTCCAGAATGCATTGGTGAGACAAGCCTAGGGTAGATATTCCCAACGGGAGAAATTCGAGAGAAGGGTCATGAGTCCCAAAGGAGTGAAACCCAGCAAGGGTTGCAGGGAATCTCGAAGCCTGGTACTCCGCCTGCTACTCTGTCCTCTTGGCCTACAGGGCAGCCCACCCCAGCAGTGCAGATCTGACTGGTTGTCCTGGTGGCCCTTCCTTTTGTGTTGGTTTCAGTCTGGCTTGTAGCATTTCTGCTGGTGTCCGGTTCTTAAGCACCATGTTCTCCATGATACACAGACCTTCCTGAGTGCCCTTCTGCTCCTGATCTGCCACAGTGGCCAGTCAACCCACAAGTCACACCTGACTTCAGTAGACACTTGTCCCACCATACCCTGGTCCTGTCTTCAGAGCTACAGGTCATCAAGTACTGCTTCCCCTTTCCTGACAGCTGCTTCCTCAGTTTATTCCTCTACCTGTGCATTTTGCAGTAAGCAACAAGGAGTAACCAGGCTACACTCCCACACACTGCTGGGGAGTCTCAGGCGTGTACCAACTTATCATCACAGAGCAGAACAGTTTAGCCAAGTTTTCTGCCATTTTTGCTGCAGTTGCCAATAACACGTTTCTCATTTCCACCTGAAACTTCACCAGAAGCACTTTTTGAAAGGATTTTTATTTTGAGATTAGGTCACACTGAGTTGCCCAAGCTGGCCTCAGACTCAAATCCTCCCACTTCAGCCTCCCAAGTCACTGGGATCTAAGGCACGCACCACTGTGCCCAACTCAGAAGCACCTTCTAAGGTCTCCATTTCTACTAGTTTTCCCTTCTTGACGTTTGTGTTCTCCAAGGAACCACAGCGCTCCTTCCTGAGCCTTCACCAACATCATTCTTATCCACTTGTACCTCTAAGGCATCCTGGCTCTTACCTGCATCACTCCACCGCTCTTCCAGTCTCTGCCCATGGCCCAATTCCAAGGCCTTTTCTGTTTTCAGGTATTTGTTACATGCAGCAGCACCCCTTCCTGGTACCAAAGTTGATCCATTTCTGTGACTGCTATAAAAGTATCACAAACTGAGTGCTTAAAACAACAGAAACGTATTGTCTCAGTTCTGGAGACGAAATCCAGTATCGAGGCAGTGGCAGGGTCACGCTTTCTGGCACCTGTAGGAATGTGTCCTTCCTAGTCACCCCCTGCTTCTGGTGTCTGCCTGTAGTCCTTGATGTTTCCTGGCTTGTGGCCACATCACTACAGGCACTGCCTCCTGTGTGCCTGTCCTGACCTTATCCTCCCTTTGACTTTAACATGACCTCCTCTTAAAGGTTGTCCTTGGTGCCGACTCCAGCCAGGGAAGGGTGCATTCTAAGGTCCTGAGAGGATGGGTGTGGACTTTTGTCCTGAGGTGGCACAATGTCACTTATAACAGTGGTCCCTACTCTTACGTTATGGTAGCTGAGGAGCTAGAAACTGGAACTCAGGAGTCTGTTCTTGCTGACCACCTCCCTGCCAGGGCTAGCAGTGGTGTGGGCAGGGACCCCCTTTCTCACATGTGCTAGGTGGCATGGCCCATAACTCTGAGCCTCGTTCTATGGCCTGGTCAGGACTACAGGCTGTGCATGCTGACCTCTGTCCTCAGGCCATGCGAACCCTTAGCTGGAAACACACCCTGGGCCTGGTGACCATGGATGTAGAGTTGGCTGACCGCACCCTATCTGTGGCAGTAACCCCCGTGCAGGCAGTAGTCTTGCTGTACTTCCAGGATCAAGGTGAGCCCACAGGTCCCAACAGTCTGCCCTGGCTCTGCCACCCTGGGGCCAGTGCCAGGCATTGCTCTTGTCATAACCAGCCATGGGGTGAGGCACTTTGACCAGTGGGGGCAGTCCTGGGCCATGGGGCAATGGCTCTTTCCCTTTGCTGAGGGTCCCGCTGACCCCTGGGAGGCCATGCTGGGCTGTCAGGATGCATGCCGGCATGCCTGTGACTGTGCACAGCCATCTGGACCTTGGAGGAGCTGAGCAAGGTGGTGAAGATGCCTGTGGCACTGCTGCGGCGGCGCATGTCCGTGTGGCTGCAGCAGGGTGTGCTGCGCGAGGAGCCGCCTGGCACCTTCTCTGTCATCGAGGAGGAGCGACCTCAGGACCGTGACAGCATGGTGCTCATAGACAGTGACGAGGAGAGTGACTCAGGCATGGCCTCCCAGGCTGACCAGAAAGAGGAGGAACTGCTGGTGTGTGCCTTTGGTGGGCTTGGGGAGGAGCGGCACAGTCCCAGTGGGCAGGCCAACTGACCACCTTGCTGCTGTCCCCAGCTCTTCTGGACTTACATCCAGGCCATGCTGACCAACCTGGAGAGCCTGTCGCTGGAGCGCATCTACAGCATGCTGCGGATGTTTGTGATGACCGGCCCCGCACTGGCGGAGATTGACCTGCAGGAGCTCCAGGGCTACCTGCAGAAGAAAGTGCGTGACCAGCAGCTCATCTACTCGGCCGGCGTCTACCGCCTGCCCAAGAGCTGCAGCTGATGCTGCCTGCCAGGCCCAGGCTTGGGACACCCCCCCACCTGAGTATGACCCCAGGATGAATAGGGCTTCTGCTCCTGCCCAGCGCCTTCCAGCCCCACCCCCTCCAAATGCAGATTAAAGTAGGTCAGTTCTTATCCTTCAGTGTCCTGCTGGCTTTGTGAACCCACGGACATGTCCTGATTTTCCCTCAGGATTGGCCACTCCACCTTGGCCCTAGAGCCCAGCAATAGGTGAGGCCAGGAGTGAGCGAGGACGGGCTGCCTAGGAGTGCCCTGCTTTGCAGCCAGCCACCTGCCACACCTCAGCCTCCCTCTCCAGCAGCCTTTGGAAGGAGCCCTTGGGGCCCCCAGCCTGCAGTCTGTCTGGCTCTGCAGCTGGTGTTGCTGGGGCTTGGAAACTCTGTAGAACCTGAATTGCAAGGTGGCCTGAAGAAGTCTGTGCACTCCAGCTTTGAAGGGCTGCATGAGGACACAACCTAGTGGCCTGAGATCAGCCATTTGTCCACCTGCCCCACACTGGAGTGGTATGGCCACTGTGCTTAGAGCTCATGAGTGAATGTGTTCTCAGGTAGTTACTTCCATGTCCCCCAAACCTGAGGTCCCAAGTATGGGCCAGGCACAGGGAAAGGAAAGCACCATGGGCCAGCCCTCTCCTTCCCCTCACATCAGGGACCAGCCACTCTTGGCAGTCTCTGTCCAAGAGGCCAGGTAGGGAGAGGTCCCAGCACTGTCCTCATCCCTTGGGTCTAGGCTGGCCTGAGACACTTCCAAACTGAGCAGGGTGTCCCAGCCCCAGAGCTGCTGTTCGCAGGCAGGCAGTGCTCTGTCTCAAGGCCTGTCCTCAGGTGACAAAGGCCCTTTGGAACCATTGCCTCTGTTCTGCTCCTGCCCAGGGTGCATGCCCAGACCATGAGCCCCACACCAGCTTCAGCTCTGTCGCTGCCACTGTTCCAGACACCCTTCCTGGACCCCTCATGTCCACTGTCCTGGGGTGCAGAGCTACCCTTCCCACAGTTCCAGCTCTGGCCTATTCTGCATTGGGGTCCTGAATGGCACTTCCCTCACCCTCTTATTCTAGAGCATTGGAGCAGGAAGCAGTACAAGCTAGACACAGTCTCAGCAATGGTGTGAGGATTCCCAATGCCCCACAGGCTTGGCCACAGCATGAGTGGTCTGCTCTCTTGGGTTCCCCTACCTGCTCCCCTCCACTCCACGACTGCCCTTGTGTCATTGCCACTACATGAGTTCTGGTGGAAGCAGACACCTGAAAGCTGTGACACCCACCATTTTCTCCACCAGGTGGCCCTCCCTGGGCCCTGCTGTCCCTGGTCACCACTTGCCCCCCCCCCCCCCGGGGGGGGGCGTGTAACCAGGATGCAAACCTGTTAGGCTGGCCTGGCAGGGTGGCTGTGCCAGCCTTGGCCTCTGGCACGCCCCTGCTCTTGTGTGCCTTTGCATTTATCTCCAGTGTGTGTCCTGGAGATCTCTGAGAGTTGTGGGTCACAGCCTCACCAGGAGCTGCTGACCTGTGCTGTGCTGACCCAAAAGGAGAGCATCTTACCGGCAGTCAGACTGGACCCCCCCAGTGATCAGAGCCATGGAGTCAGGCTGTGCCCTTCCCCTGATCCCTGTGGGGCCCACCTGGTAGGAGGCCCCACCCTGGTCAACCACAGTTCGGGCATTTCCTCTTTGCTGTCTTGTGGTTTGCTTGGCAGGTCCTTAGGGGAGGGGTGGGGTGTGGTGGCAGGGTGGGGCTATTCCGCATCCCACCTTGGAACCACAGGTTCAGTGAGGAGGGGGAGGTTTAACAATGCCAGCCCAAGGTGACAAGCTGCCTTGAGCAGTGACTGCCTGGTCTCAGAGGGAATAGACACCTAGGCAGCAGTCTCTAACTTCAGTGACATTTAGACTTGCAACCATTTTTGACCACTTGCCCCCAGAGGGAATCATGGCCTGAGGTCCTGCTTGGGCAGGTGTGGCTAGGGCCCCCTGTCAACCTCTTCTGAGTGATTGGGGATCCCTTGGAGGAACCAGCAGCCCTCCTGACCTGGCTTTGCTGGCAGTTTAGGCCCAACCCTCCCTGAACAGCCAATAAAGGCAGATGAAGGCAGTCCTCCTTGGCCCCTTCCTGCCCCATCCCTGTGCAGCAGTGACCTGCAGCTGCCTAGGGCTCAGGCCCACCCAGCCCTGCAGTCCTTGTGTTGACAAAAGGAACCAAGGCCCCTGAACACCAGAGGCTGACATCAGACCACACCCCCCTTCACTGTGCAGCTCGGTTGGTACCACCAAGGCCCCAGCCCCACCATTGCCTGCCTCTGATCTGGCCAGGGCTCCTCCCTACCTGCCCCATACCAAGACTCCTTGAATCCCGGTGCCAGCTTGGATGCTGAGGCCCTGCCCCCACCTTCCCTGCCTCACAGCCCCACTGTGAGGTCAGAGCCTTCCGACAAGTTCCAAGTTCCGTCCACAGGTGTGCCGTGGGGCTCGGGGCTGGACATGGCCCCCTGTCCCCAACCTGACTGCTGCCTGGCTGGCAGCCCCCTGGGCCTGATATGTCTGTCCCTTTTGCTCATCCCTGCTGCAGGTGCCTCTTCCTGCCTTTGGCCCCCAGCCATAGCCCCTCCCTTTTGCAGGCAGGGCCAACCTGCCTATGTCCTTCTGGTGGCCTCTGGGTGAGGGTGGGTTAGAAGTCCCCTGCAGGCAGGTGACTGGCCCTGCCCTGTGGCCCTGTCTCTGCAGCTGGAACCTACTGTGACTGCAGCCTGGGCCTCAGCCGCGAGGCCCTCATCGCTCTCATTGTGGTGCTGGCAGGAGTCAGCGCTAGCTGCTTCTGCGCCCTCATGGTTGTGGCACTTGGAGTCCTTCGAGCCAAGGGGTGCGTGAGCCCCAGGCTTGGGAGCAATAGGAGTGAGGCCAAGCCTCCAGGGCCTCCACCCCTTGGGTAGGGTGTCATGAGGGTCTGGGAATGGTGCTCCCTGGCGGAGTGTGCCTGGGAGGGGCCAGCGCACCGCTGCAGTATTCATGCTTACCTTCATCCCTACAGTGAACCAAGCACCAGACATGTGGACAACAGGTGAGTGCCGCAGGAGGGCCCCAGGGGTGACCTGTGCCTCACTGGAAGTGCAGTCACAGGGACACAGAGCACTGCTCCAAGGGCTGGCCTTCCCAGGGTGGCCAAGGCCCCGCCAGCCCCTGCTGACTGGGCCTGCATCATGCAGGTTGGTGGGGCACTTCGGGGTCCAGGAAGATCGCATGGACCTGCATGCAGTGCACGTGGAGTCCCACCTTATGGACCCTGAACTGGAGGTTTCCATGATGCCATCACTGGAGGACCATGGCCTCATGACCATCCCCATGGAGGCTACTCTAGAGGAGCCGCCCCCACCCCCACCCCCTGAATAGGGTGGAGGGCAATTGGGCAGGGGAATTAAACATTACTTAGTGGTTGTGTGCTGTCCTCCTTGCAAGCTCCAAAGTCCCTGGAGACTGCTCTGTGGTGTGTATGCATTCGGTTATGGGGCAGGGAACCACCCCGCCTGGTGCTTCCACCTTCTGGCACAGCTGGCCAGCCCAGCCCCCTCCCTGAAGCTTCCTGCTGCTTCTTCCCACCCTGGGCCCCTGTCAACCCAAGAAAACCCCTAGACTCTAAAGAGAGCTGCTTCTGAGGCAGGATTCCTGCTGGTGCCCCTCGCCACTCACAGTGCCCCCTTGAGGTTCTAAGGAGTGGAGGCACCCACTCCCCTCCTGCACCACCTCCCCTGCCTCTGGTGTGCAGTCCTCCTCCCCCTCAAAGTTTGTCCCCTGAGCTCAAGGCCCTATCATGTGCTCCTGCCCTGCCCACTCATCCATCACAGAGGTGGGGCGGGGGACTTCTCATTCTCTACATGGGGCACTTTTTGCTGAGCCAGAATGGAGCGGACACGGAGTGGAGCAGGATGCACTGGGTTCTGCCATTTAGCGCGTTTGGTGGGTGCGAGTAGGTGTGGTCCTGCTCAGTCCACAGCTGGGCGTCCGGTGGTCTCCTTAGTGCCGCGGCCGGCGCAGAGCCAAGACCCTGGAGCTCTGGGACAGGTGGCTGGCAATGCCAGGCGCTGGCTCTGTGCCCGGCCCCCGCCCCAGGCGCGGGATCAGCCTTGGGACAAGAACTGCCAGTGATCGGGCCGGACAGTTAACATTTGTGTAGGAGCCAAAAGGACGAGCTTCTGGGACGCCCGGGCTCCAAGGACGCACAGACAGCAGGGCCCCCACCTTGGGTTCTGGAGCTGCCCCCATGCGGGGCTCCTCTTTTATCTCGCGGCCTCCGCCGCTACTGTCCCTGCTGCTGTTGCTGTTGCTGCTGCCGCCGCCGCCGATGCGGCCAATCTGGGCCCAAGTGTCCACTGGGGCCGCCACCCGCGGGACCCCGGACGCTCCCGACTGCCCCAAGGCGTGCGTCTGCGCGCCCGGCGGCCAGGCCAACTGCTCAGCACTCGTGCTAGTCGCGGTGCCGGCGGGCCTGAGCCGGCGCGTGCGCACGCTGCTGCTGGATCACAACCGCGTGCGTGTGCTGCCTCCGGGAGCCTTCGCGGGCGCGGGCGCTCTGCTGTACCTGGACCTGCGCGAGAACGGGCTGCGCTCGGTGCACGCACGGGCTTTCTGGGGCCTGAGTGTGCTGCAGCGGCTGGACCTGAGCGACAATCAGCTGGAAGCGCTGGCGCCCGGCACCTTCGCGCCCCTACGGGCGCTGCGTTCCCTCTCGCTGGCCGGCAACCGGTTAGCGCTCCTAGAGCCAGCGGCGCTGGGCGCGCTCCCTCTGCTGCGCGCGCTCAGCCTGCAGGACAACGCGCTTACGGCGATCCCGCATGACCTGCTGGCCGGCCTGCCAGCTCTCGATGCGTTGCGCCTGCGCGGTAATCCGTGGGCCTGCGGCTGCGCGCTGCGCTCGCTCTGCGCCTGGCTTCGTCAGCACCCACGGCCGGCGTCAGGTGAGCTGTCAGCCCGGGGCTCAGGCCGTATCACGCAGGGCCGGGTTGTGGCTGCCGCCCACCTGACGCCGCGCCTGTATCCTGCAGAAGCCGAAACCCTGCTTTGCGTATCACCAGGACGCCAGACGCTCAGCCCCCTGACCGCCTTTCCCGACGCCGCCTTCAGACACTGCGCGCAGCCACTAGCGGCGCGGGACCTGGCGGTGGTCTACGCACTTGGCCCTGTCTCCTTCCTCGCCAGCCTGGCCACCTGCCTGGCGCTGGGCTCCGTGCTCACCGCCTGCCGTGCACGCCGCCGCCGCTGCCGTACCGCGGCCCGCCGCCCGCCTAGGAGACCTCCGGATCCCGCCCCCGACGGCACTGCCTCCCCCGAAAACCCTGTGAGCCCCACCGCCGCATCTGCCCAAGCCTGAGGGCGCAGCTGTTGCCCCAGGCGCTCCCACACTGCCCGGAGCCCTCGAAACTGCCCAACCCCGTGTCCTTCCTTCACACCCTGCTGGCGACAAACAAGCGACACAGACCGAAAGTTTCGTGACATTCCTTTAGGCATCACCACTTCACACGGCGAGGGGCACACCGGGGCCCCTGGGGCAGAGGGGCAGCGCGCAACTGCGCACGGGCCACACAGGGAAGACACGCGCTCAGACACTGGGAAGGCTGGTCTGTACATGGTGGCAGGCGCGTGACACACCCGAAGCGAAGGGGAGGGCAGGCTGGTGGCGCTCCCTGTGCCCTAGGTGCGGAGCAGGGTAGAAGATCGTACGAGCCAGCATCTGGGGCCCACCGTGGGCTGCAGGTCAACAGAAGGCTCAACCCTGAGTCTGAAGGAGGCCCGAGGCAGCGGGGTGCCCCAAAGGTCCCTGGGTGACGCTGCCAGCTGGGGAGTCAGGGATAATTGTGGGGAAGGGCAGGGCCAGCCCAGCGAAGGGGGTCGGGTGGGGGGGGAGGGGTGTGGGGGGAGGTGCAGCAAAAAGAGGAGAGGGGTGGAGTTAGGCTGCAGAGAGCAGAAGCTGGAGGAGGGGAGACTCAGCCAGCTGGGGCCATGGGCCCCCCTGTGGCTTAGGGTGGTGACTGGGGGTAAGGATGGGGCTGCCATCTCTGCCCCAAGCCCCTCTGCCTGGGGCCACTTAGGCCCCTCGCCCCAATGCTCAGAGCCCCCAGGGCAGATCCCTGCCTCTGCCGGAGCGCCCTGTGGCCCTGCCCAGCCGGCTCAGCTCGGCCTGTCCTCAGCCGCTCCGGTCCGCACCTTGATCCAGCAGGGGCTGCCCGCCAGGCAGCAGGGCGGGCGGACGGACGGGAGGCCCAGGTGGGCAGTCTCTGGGGCGGGTGGGCTTCCCTCAGGCCTTCCCGAGCAGCAGGACTCATCAGTGTCCTTGGCCGGGCTAACTGGGCAGGTGGGCGCCTCCGGGGGCCTCACACCACGGTGCTGACCGAGGGATCTGAGAGGTTGAGCGGGCCCGTGATATCAGTGGGATGGTACTGCTGCAAAATAGAAATACACAGACAAGGCGGCCGTTAGCCCTGATGCCAGGGACGCGCGCGGGGCCGGGACAGGGTAGACCGGCCAGCCGGCCGACCGGCGGGCGGGCAGGCGCGGCCTGGGGGAGGCTGGGGGTGCTCCTCCCCCGACCCCGTCGTGTTCCGGGGCTCTGCGTGGCCGGCCGCTGTCCCGCGTCTGTCTGTCTGCGGGGGAGGGGCAGAGGAGGGCGGGCGGGGCGTCTCAGCTCTCCCTATGACGGGAACACAGCTGCAGCTGGCCCTCCTCCCTCTCAATAGCGCGTCGCGGCAGCACTGTGTCTTTTTGGTTTTGCAAAGCGCCGCGTCCACCCCCGGTGCTCTATAAATAAGAACCAACAATCAATACCCGCCGGCCCCTGGCCGCCAGGGATCCCAGCCCTGAGCGCCCAGTGCCACTCTGGCCCGGACGGCCACAGGACAGGGGCAGAGGATCTCAGCAGCTGGACCGACCCCACCCACCCACAGGAGCCCCCACCCAGGCCTCCCTCTGAACAGGCGCCCAGCTCCAGAGACAGGGTGGGAGCTGGGCTGCCCGACCCCGCCCAGATCCCAGTGGGCAGTGCCCCGTAGTCAACACTGCAGGAGGGGACCAGCCCCAGATGCCACCTGGCACCAGGGCTGGCCCCAGAGGGCGGTCCCTGGTGCCCAGGATCAGGCAAGGATTCCACTAGGAGTATGTCCCCAGAAAGGTACCATGCAGGGCTTTGAGCTGTATTTGGGCCAGCTCCAGGCGTTGGCGCTGGGACTCGGTGCCACCCTCTGAAAGTGGCCCATCACCTGCATGACTTCTGTGTCCCCCCCCCTTTGGCCATCTTGCCCAAGAAGTGCTGTTTCTCCTGTCTGCAAGCAGACATCCTGCTCCCTGATTACCCCTACCCATAGTCCTCTCCCTCCCACTTCACAGCACCCTCTAGTGGGGACCCTGGCTCAGACCTTAAAGCATAGGTCCTGCCCCCATTCCCTGGCCTAGGCAGCCCTGAGGGCTGTGCTTCCATCAGTGGCTGGAACCTCCAGCTGCTCACAGCCCTGGGACCCTCACTATGCATGCGTCCTCTCTGTGCCCAGCCCCTGTCTCAGGGAACTGAGCAGCCAGTCGTCACAGGCCTTCTTGGGGCATCCTGGTGACTTCGCCCTGGGCCAAGTCCTATCTGTGTCCTGGAGGTCTGCCCCACTTCCTGTATAAGGGTAGGAGCTGAAAATCCCAATTCCTCTCCAGGGTATAAAACCCCTTTGGGTGATGCTGCCCATGGGTAAGAGGGCCTTCCTGTGAACTGGAGGTCAAATTGGCCCCTGGGCTGCAGGGCAATGCTGACCCTCTGGGCTCCCTGGGACAGGGTACCTCTAGTAAGGCAGGGTCCCTTTGGGGACCTTTTTCTTTTCTTTGTACTGCAATTTGAACCCAGAGGTGCTTTACTGCTGAGCTACATCCCCAGCCCTTGTACTTTGATTTTTTTTTTATTAAACTAAGTTGCCTAGGGCCTCCATAAATTGTCGAGGTTGGCCTCAAACTTGTGATCCTCCTGCTTCAGACTCCCGAGTCACCCGGATTACAGGTGTGCTCCACCACACCTGGCTGTGGCCCTTTTTCTTTCTGAGTGCATTTCCAGTGCAATGACAAGCTGCCCAAGGCAGGAGACAGGAGTTTTGGTTCAAAAGGCAGAAGGCCTGGTTCTGACAGTGGCCCTGTGAGATTCCTGGGGGTCAGAACAGAGGTGCCTATCAGCATCCCCTTCCGGAGTCTCCATCTGGGAACCTCAGTATCATCCTGGGCTCTGTAGGTCAGGGCTGTGGGGCTACCCCTACCTGCTCTCAGACCCTCTGGGGGCTGCGGCCTCACCAGCAGTGTCCTGTTCAGCTCAGGGCCGAGCCACCCTCTGGTCCCGCCCCATTCCCCACCTGACAGTCCCCTGAGCCGGGGCC